CTGGAAAAGCCTCAGACACTCAATGCCAGTCCGTGAAACCAACCAGGATGGGGGGCTATACCCTGCAAAGTCACAGGGGCAGAGCTGCTCAAGGTCATGGAAGTCTACCTCTTGCATCAGCATGACCTGGATGTGAGACATAGAGTCAAAAGGAGATCATTTTGCAGCTTTAAGATTTTACTGCCCCGCTGGATTTTGCACTTATGTGGGGCATGTAGCCCCTTTGTTTTGGCCAATGTCTCCCATTTGGAATGGCTGTATTTACCCAATGTCTATACTCCCATTGTATCTAGGAAGTAACTAACTTGCTTTTGATTTTATAGCCTCATAGGCAAAAGGGACTTGTCTCGTATCGAATGAGACTTTGGACTGTGGAGTTTTGAGTTAATGTTGAAATGAATTAAGACTTTAGGGGACTGTTGGGAAGGCATGATTGGTTTTGAAATGTGAGGACGTGAGATTTGGGAAGGGTTATGGGCAGAATGATATGGTTTGGCTATGTTCCCACTAGAATCTCATCTTGAATTTCCATGTGTGGTGGGAGGGACCTGGTGCATGGTAACTGAATCACAGGGGCAGGTCTTTACCTTGCTGTTCTTATGATAGTGAATAAGTCTCATGATATCTGATGGTTCTATAAGGGGGAGTTTCCCTGCACAAGCTCTCTCCCTCTTTGCCTGCTGCCATCCACATAAGATGTGACTTTCTCCTCCTTGCCTTCCACCATGACTGTGAGGCCTTCTCAGCCATGTGGAACTGTAAGTCCAACAAACCTTTCTTTTGTCAATTGTCCAGTCTCAGGTATGTCCTTATCAGCAGCGTGAAAACAGACTAATACACTACCAATACTTTTCCTGTAACTGGTTCCATTTTGCATGTTACTTGGAAGTCCTTTACAATGTTACATAGTTTTACACGCGGAATTCCACAGTGCTTTGCATGTTTTTCTAAAATCATTATACACCTTTATAATTGGCCTTTTTAATGTTGCTTATTTTAGTGTGGTAATAAACAATTATAATATCCTTTTTTTTTTAAAAAAAGGAAGTATTTAAAGTCATCTATCTAAAGAGCACCATGAGAAGTATTATGTATGTGTATTATGAATGGAAATATGTTTGTGAATACTAATTGTCAATTTATATAAATATTTTAAATACCAATATTATGTAATAAATAGTTTAAAATTCTAGTAGCATAAATATTTAATTTGTTTTTCCTTGAGTCTAAAGGACTGGAAGTTTTTATTCAAATTCAGTTTGATGGAAGAATATCTTAAAGTTTAGAAAGTTAAATAGCATGCTTTGTTTTAACAGTTAACTTAGATTTATATAGAAATTTGGAAAGAATATGATATAAACCTTTCAACTAGCACTCTCTTAAGCACCGGAAAAATCATTACCTTTCCCAGTTCTTTCAATTTCTGTCATAAGAAGCATAGAGAACAGAACTATATATTTTGGTAATTAATTTCCTTAAGATAATGTTAGAAACATCATGTTCTTTAAAATATAAATGAATTTCAAGGTGAGCATGCTGGAGGATAATATTAATGGAAGTGATTTATTGTGACAAGAGATCTGATCTGAAATACCATTATTAGGAGTACTTACAAAAATCCATTTGCAAATTCCTGAAAATATGAAAGTGTGCTATGGCTGAGCCTGTTGCAATGTTGAAATCTGAACTATCTGCCATTGTAGGTACAAAATTGCTTATGTACAATATGTCTTCCTCGCAGAAATTCATCAGAAAATGTTAATATACTGAATATATCACATTATGGTTTAGGGAATTGCCTAAATGCTTCAAATGATAAGTGTAGAATTAATCTGCAAATGTATAGACTGAAACATACATGCCTAATTCCTATATGGAATTCTGTGGCTGACCATTATCTTAAAAAATATTTGGCCAATAATTCATTGAACATCTACTCTATACCCTGTTCTTGAACTCACAATAGAAACCTGTGACTTTGTGTCATTTTAGAAGGCATTTTTTTTATGTTACAATCTCTAGCAAAGAGTCCCTATAAGCTATTTATAAGCAAGATTCATTCATGACTCAAATTTGAAAAGAAGTTTTAATAAAGTTAGCTTTAAGTCTTATAAAAAACATTGAAATTTACAAACACATTGTTGTAAATGGCATCTAATCACATACTGAGCAGTGAGGAATGTTACCAATTAGTAGAGCTATTAATAATAAAAAATTAAATAGATATGTGAATAATAGAAGTCTTTATTATTAAGAAGACTTAAAAATTATTCTGTAGAAAGAAATTCATTAACCTCTGACACTTGGAAGAGGGTAATAAATATTGGCATTCTTACATATAGGTTGTCAAATTTGATTAGCACATAAATATATTGATATACCTCTCTATACATTCAATTCTCCCCTGCCCTCTCACCACGCCGCTACAATTGTCTCCTTTTTCTGTTGCTGTGGCTCTCTTTTTCTCTCTCTTTCCCTCTCTCCTCAATAAGTTTAGGACAGTAATGCCTTATAAATTGCAAACATTTATTTTCTTGGTATATTTCTTAGAGCCTTTAATGAACTTTTTTATGTTAAACTCTCTAAGAGGCACACTCCATGTGGTATTATCCAAACACAGCTTTTGCTTTTTTGCTTGAAACCTATTTTAATATATGAATATACACTTCTTTATAAACATAACATAAATAATATATATGAGTATAAATATTAATGCTTCATAGAATGACATATGGGAAAGCATAGGCTACTCTATCTTATAATGTGTTTTGGATACATTAATAGCTATATTCATTTCCAGGATATTCCAGGTATATAATCAAGTGCTGAAATCTATACAGGACATATACTTTGACTGTTATGTCAATGTATTTTTATATGTGTTTCCTGAACTGAAACTAAATCTTGTAAAATAAAAATGTCTATTCTAGGTACAAAGACAACTTATAGGTGTAAAATTTTAATTAGATTACTTTGATTTAATTTTGAAATGCACCTGGAGCAAAATTCAGACAGTACAATAAAGAAAAATACATTTGTCACCACAACCACTTTGCTCCCCTCTCCAGAAGGAACCAGAGTTTTAAAATTTGTGTGAATTGTTCTGAAAATACATGTACATATATATATCCATATATGCATTTATTTCATTTTCTTTATAATAAAAAGTATAGTTTTCTGAACTATGAGGAAAAAAGCAAATCATAAGGTCATGATTTATTTGTAGGGTAAAAAACAAATCAAGGCAATATTTAACATAGGTATTAGATTATACTTTCAGTTACTAAAAACTTTTTTTTTTTTTTTTTTTGAGACAGAGTCTCGCTCTGTTGCGCAGAGTGGACTGCAATGGCGCAATCTCGGCTCACTGCAACCTCTGCCTCCTGGGTTCAAACGACTCTCCTGCCTCAGCCTCTTAAGTAGCTTGGGTTACAGGCACCTGCCACCATACCCTAATTTTTGTATTTTTAGTAGAGAAAGGGTTTCTCCATGTTGGTCAGGCTGGTCTCAAACTCCTGACCTCATGATCTGCCTGCCCTGGCCTCCCAAAGTGCTGGGATTACAGGCGTGAGCCACTGTGCCTGGCCTACTAAAAATATCTTAATAGGTAAATTCAATGAAAAATTAGATACAAACTCACTAATCATGAAACATTTGCTGTGATGATTTACGCATAAAGTAGTGCACTCAATTCTAATATTTAGAAAACTATAAAACAATTTTGAAATAGTTTTCAACAGCATTTGTTTATTGTGAACCTACATGGGAGAAGATTACATCAATGTACTCATGAGTGACAAAATTGAAATAAATGTAAGAATGTCCAGGGGCCGGTATATAATAAATGATCTGTAACATTTATGGCAAGATGTAAGTCAAATGCAGAGATAATAAAGTCCCTGGCTTTGAATATCAATAGATAGATAAAGTCACTTAAATATCTATACAGAAATGCTAGTTATGGTTTTGACTTTGTGAGCTGAATAGAGTGGAAATGAGTATAAATAATTGAAGCAAAAGATAATTCACTTCTTCTGCCCCACTTTTCTAGGGGAGTAAGGTGGAACGAGCCTTATTTCCTTCTAGAAATGGGGAAGATACGGAACCAAGGCTTTCCCTATTTCCCTGAGTAACTGTGAAGGACAATGTCTACATTTTTTCTTTCTTTCTTTTTTTTTTTTTGAGACGGAGTCCCGCTCTGCCGCCCAGGCTGGAGTGCAGTGGCCGGATCTCAGCTCACTGCAAGCTCCGCCTCCCGAGTAGCTGGGACTACAGGCGCCCGCCACCTCGCCCGGCTAGTTTTTTTGTGTTTTTTAGTAGAGACGGGGTTTCACCGTGTTAGTCAGGATGGTCTCGATCTCCTGACCTCGTGATCCGCCCGTCTCGGCCTCCCAAAGTGCTGGGATTACAGGCTTGAGCCACCGCGCCCGGCCAATGTCTACATTTTTGAATAAAAAATGTTTGCCTGTTGCTCTTATGAGGAAAGTAATTTTGTTCGTCAAGGCTTTCCCCTTGAAGAAATGTCTCTAAAACTAATCTATATTGGCATTGATATTACTATAATTTCTTTCGCATTTAGTTTAGGCCAGTTTGAAGCTGATAGTCCAGAGATATATAATCCCTGTGTAATATACACTTAGCATTATCAAATCAAAACCCTGTGTTTTTCCTTGGGATTAAGGTTGATTGCTATTCATATAAGTCATGCAAACTTCCAATGTGTCTTAAAACTATTATTTTCATCTTTTACTTGAAATCTTTCTTTATAGTACATGAGAATGAAATAGAGATGACCCATTGCATTCCTCATTATAGTTTCATCACAACCTAAGAAAAATTTAATTCATTTATCCTATCATCTTAATACTTACACACACACACACACGCACACAAAGCCTCATTCAGCCGCTACATTATAAAATATTCTATACCATCTAGTGATCTTTTTATGGCAAAATTCAGAAACTATATCTATAATTTCATCTCTTTTGTCGCCTTACCTACTGTTGAATTTCTCTGGGTGTTTTTCTCTCATGATGTGGAATCTGTGTGCAATGGAGGCATCCTAAGGGGAGAAAATAGAAAACAAAAACAGGATGGTTTATGATCCTATTATCTCATGAAAATGTAGACTAAAATAAAAAAAAAAAACATTTTAAAATGAACTTTACAATATTATTGCCAAGAAGATTATGTGAAATTAGGCAAAAATGTGTGATCCATATAAATTATATGCAGAAGTGATTTATGTAATTTCACAATTGATTATTTGTTACATTTACATCTAAGACTTTATTGCTATTTAATTTCTATATCTCCTTTTAATGACCAGCTTTGACCTCATGTTCAACGTATGTTGAAGATAGCACATATGAGCGTAAATGTCAAATAGTAATTGAAAATATTGTTAAACAAGAGTTAGAAGGATGGCCTAAGTGGAGAAATGATCAGTACAGAAGCTCCTAATTATTTGAGATTAGTTATGGGTAAAAAGATGGTGTGAAGGTGCATGTCTAGTAAAGATAAGTGCAATACTTGACTTCAGAATTTGCTTAGGTTGTCTTGATGTGTAATTAATAATAGTTTGTACCACAAGCAACTTTCTGGCATATCTCGTTGAATAGAAAAACAACAACAAACAGCAAATTTTGGGGGAACTGTTGACAAATACAATTTGTCTCTGAGACTCCAAGTGCATCAGTTCTGACCCTAATGGATGTTTCTTACTTTTAGCAAATACAGATTTTTTTTCATGAGATAGAAATCGTACTCAATGTGTGAGACTGGTGAAATACTGCTATCCAAGCTTTTCAAGCACAGACTGCTGCAACTGACTCTAAACAATTATCTCTGTTATTCCAAGTGTGGAGATATTTTCCCATTCTTCATCCACACATGATTAATCACTCAAATGAGAAACTAATATATTTACCAGTCACCTCAATAGAAAAGGGCTATTGTTGACATTCACTGTTAATTTTGTTTCAAAGTGGAGATAAAAGTAAAAGAAAACCAAACGCAAGGAAATAAAGAAGTTGTGTATTTGAGAGAATCTTGAAAACACTAATCAAGGATTAAAAGTCTAATGAATGAAATGAAAGGCTAATGTGCTTACTCATGCATAACAAAGCATGAGGCACAAAAAGAGAGGGACCAATGCCCACTGCAGATGGCAGAGAGTTGCAGGATAGAGCTAACTGTAATTTTTTCTGTGCAAACATTTGATACCCTAAAATTTGTCAAGTAATTGAATTAATCTATGAATGAAAATCACCCAGACACATAGATAGAGGTGTACAGAAACAATGCTTATAATAAAGGTTACAAAAATCCCCCTCTACGGTTTAATATTTAAGACCTTATTTTGCTATATACACATGGCCAACTTCCTGGTTTGCTAGGAAGTACAAATATCAAGATGGTTCACTTTTGTTGGTCCAATGATAACTCTCAAACTAGTCACAGAGTTCCTTTTTATAAATTTAATTCTGTTAAGTCATAAACATATTATACTTTATAATATGAAGTTGTCTTACTGTGGTATGAGATTACAGGAAAAACATCTGAACTGGGCTATTTATGGTATATGTAGCATGATCAATTAATTAATTTTGAAAAGCATTTATTTTTACTTTATCTGTAATCTGGTACAAAATCAATTTGGAATATCTTCCAATTAAATGCATACATTCAGCAGACTATTTAAACAAAACAAAGGAATATGAACCAAACACTAAAAATGAATGATCAATATCGCTTCCCATAGGGAGAGTATCATTGAATTTACTTCTGCTTGAATTATTTGTTTCTGCTAAGTTGGGGAGACTGAGACTTTTAAAAATAGATTGTGTAGTACATTTCTTTTTACAAGTGTATATTTTTGTAATAACAAATTTCTTCCTTTTCAAAGCAACATAAAGAGAATAGAGAAAGAGAGAGAGGAAAGAAGAGAGGAAGGAGGAGAAGAGAGGGGAGAGATAGCAAAAGACCATTTAAGTAGACTGACTATAATTGGGTAAACTCCTAGAAACACAGGACTGCATAGTCAAAGATAAAACTAATATTAGCTTATCTATCTTCAAGATTCTTGGGCAATGGATCATTTAGTTAAGAGGGGAAAAAATAAAACTTAGTGTCAAACACTAGCAGGTCTTTTCCTTGTGTTGAATAGGTTCCACCATAAAAAGAGAGCTGGCATTGCCGACTACAGGGTTGATAAGGAACAATGACAGCAGGTGTTCATTTGGATGAGAATTCAGACCCAATTCACATGGGACCCTGTCCCTTTGGCATAACCCCAGAGGGCTTGATAGAGTACTGCCAAAATCTGCAACATTATCCAGCAGCCATTTTTCAAGAGACACTAAATGTTCTCTAAAGACAGACCAAATAAGAAAAAGCTAAAATGCCATTTTAAAATAAATTTTACCATTTCTGTCTGAATGCATTATAGTTTTTAGACAACAGAAATAAATCAGCATTACTTCCACTTCCTAGAATGCAGAAACTCTGAATTCAGAATTTCTACTTCCAAGCCTTGTGACTTTAAACAAATTATTTATTCATTGAGAATCACAGCTTCCTTATCTTTAAAAGAGGATACTGATATCTCTTCAAAGTACCTTGGTGGAGATTTAATATCATTCTCTATAGCAATTGGAACAGTATTCTATATAGCTGGGATTTTCATACATCTTATATACAAACCAATATTTTCTTAAAGTTAAAAGAGAATGCTAAACATGGTTAAGTTACATATTTTTGAAATATATTTTTACAGACTCAAATTGCTTTTCATTATTTCCTTAACCTATATAGCTTTATTTTTAATTAAAAAAATCATATCTAAGAAATGAAAATAAATCAATTTTATTAAAGCAAAACAAATTTAAACCTCATTGTGCTATTCAAACAGTAAAAAACTAATTAGCAACATTTTTGCTATATTTACATATATAAGTATATACTAATATATGTATATCAAATAATCAGTTTATTAGCCATATCTGTCTCCAATACTTGGCCACTAGTATTTTTCTGAAATGTATTTTTCCTTTTTCTGTATAGGCTTATTTATATTTTAAATAAAATTGCCCTAAATTTCCAAATTTGCATTTTATGATATTAATTTGAAAAGCTGATTATTTTCTATGGATCGTAACTTTTCAATTGAGAGACTATTCTATATGTGTTGAGATCCCAGAGCCTATAGCAAATCCTGCTGAGGAGAATATTGTTTTTATAAAATGTAAAATATATCTACCCAAATATTGTTATCAATGTTATATTTTGTTCTGTTTAAAGAATCTTTCTCTCACAAATAGTTTCTAAAATTTGTCCAGTAAATTGTTCTGGTTTTTGATGATTTGGCCATTGCACCACATTAAATATCTTTTCAATTTTATTCCATTTTAGAATAGAATATAAATATATCCAATTAGAAATGAGTTATTAAAAATCTAATTTTAGAATTAAATTTTAGAATTAAAATTTTAGAATTAAAAATAATCTTGCATACTCTATGGGTTTTTATTGTTGAAATAATTTAGTTCTTCCTTGGTTTTGGAGGAATAAATTCCAATCTATTCCTGTGTGCAAACTTTTCTTTTCCTCAAAAATTGTAATTTACTAAGAAGTTTCAAAAGCTGAAGTTTTCAGTGCTCTATTTGTTGAATATTTTATTAAAGATTTCCAGTAATATTTTTGAAGTGTTATTGCATACAAGAAAATTGCCAGTTTTAAGTGTACACTTCAATAAGTTTTGTCAAAGGTATACAGTAACAACAATCTTTTCCTATGCTTTTGTTCATTCATATTTCTTCTTACGTGGACTACATATTGAAGTCTGTGTCCATTTGTCTCTGTATATTAAATTGACTGGGTTCAAGACCCAGCTCTAAATTTTACTGAATATTTTACCTCGAAAAGTTTGCTTAGATTTTCATTTTCCTGTATTAAAATAAGAATAATTTTAATATCTGCCTTGCTTTGAAGATCTGCTGTTCTAATACCTGGAAGATAACTGGAACTGTGCTTGGTGTATAGAAAGCAAGAAAATAAATGTTAGCTGTTACTATTATTGAAATATATTCATGATTTTGAGACTCATAATACCTTCTCATTTGGTTTATTGAGATAGTAATTAAATAAATTGCATAATCTTTAAGATGAAGTACATGAGGAAATTTTTGCTTTGGTATTCAGAATTTTATGGGTTATGCATTCATATTTGATAAATTATCTAACAAACTCAAAAGGGTCAGGAATATCACACTATACTTAAACTTCACATAAATATTTCTGCACTAGTACATATGAATATTGACTCAAGGAAAGATAAATTAACAATGTGAGATAGAGCTAACTGTAATTACAGTTACACTAGAAACACTACACTTTGTAATACTACAAAGAGCAGCTTAGTTCAGGTTATAGTTCTCACCAAGAAACTATACAAATTCAGGTTTTCAAAGCTTTGTTAGATTGAGCTTTTAGATAAGAGATTGTGGTTCTGTATTTCCCATCTGGAAAAAAACAATGTTTGCTCTCCTGACAATCTTTACCTGAATGTACTGTGCTCTCCTGACAATCATTACCTGAATATACTATTTATATAAGGCACTATTTTTACCTGTTAATATTTTTAAAGAAAATTACAATTAATAGCCACAAGTGGGATTGTTTCCCAGGCAGATTGTATCAGATATTGATATCTGTAGTGCTAGGTTGATAAACAGAGCCAGAAAGTTTCCTTCTTTATGCTGCAGAATAGTTAATAATGCATGGGAATTATTTGCTTTTTAATCATCTGTGAAATGTTGGCCTGGCATTTTTTTTTTTTTTTTTGGAGAAATTAACATTTTGGTTTTCTTATTTTTTCTGATATATTAGTTTTTCTATCTCTTCATAAATTATGTTTTTTATTACCTCATCTATAGTGGGCTCAATGGTGCTCCACAAAAAGTTATCAGATCCTAATAGCTGGAACCTGGTAACTTTTTTTTACAGAAGTGACCAAGTTCGTGACTGATATTGATTGGAACCAGTGACTCCTCTCTACATTGT